TCTGCATTCCCACATGGCAGCCACAGTTCAAATCCCCTGTCTGGTCAGTCTGAAACTTATTAGGCATAGCTGCAAGTGCCAGAGATTGACAGGCCAGAGGACTGCAGGGAAGGGATCACCGTGTGGCCAGACCCCGTGGAGGGTGCTCCTCTCTCACGCTCTCTCGTGCATGTACACAAATGCTCTATTTAACAATAAAACAATGACTGACCATGGTTCCAGACCCAGACCTGGTGACTTCCTTTCTCACTTTCTGTTTCTTTGGTGAGCACATGCCCTGTAGTGAATTAAAAAGTAATAATAATAAATAAAATTAAATAATTATCTAAAAAAATAAAAATCAATATAAAGTAAAAACAGTAGAGGGGAAAAGAGACTTGCATATTAGGGAGTTTTGGGAATACAGTAGGTAGGGAAGAAACCTCAGAAATGTAAATAAATTCAAGATAAATAAAGAGAAAATAAAATCTCCTATGTGTGCCCTACAGCTTTTTTTTTTAAAGAGTGATGTTTTCTATAACGTACATACACTCGCCGGAGACAGAAAGCGAGAAGTCACCTCCCAGGGGAGATGGCCACGCCGCAATCCCTTCTCCTCCATTCTCCTCTCGGGATCTTGGGCACGCACTCACACACACACACACACACACACACACACACACACACACACACAGTGTGAGCTTTAAGCCCCTGAGTCCAAAACGTAAACCGTGGTCGACTCTATGGGAGTCCAGTGACATAACCATGACACCATCTACTGGTTCCACCCTTTAGCTTGTTTTAAAAGTTTATTTATTTATCCCATGAGTGGTAGACAGCACCTTCTAACAGGCTCCCAACACCACCATTCACCCCCGTCCTCAGCCATCCCCAGATCACGGGCGCATGTGTGCGGCATACTCAGGGATGTCCCCGGACACAAACCCAGAACCTTCCCATGGGGGTCAGCCTTGCGGGGCATTGCATTCTACCACTGTGCCACCATCCCGTCCCCCTCGGTCCTTCTTTACTGCTGGCATCTTCCTTGTCAGGGGACGGACACGGAAGTGTAATTAAGCAAATTCCTCTTCTCACTGAAGTCTTCCTGGGCCCAGCTCACTCTGCCCCAGGAGCAACAGCAGCTCCTGACACCCATGGTCACTCTTGCGCACACACGCGTGTGCACACACACGCCAAGGGTGAGGAAAGCTCGATGTGAGCGTGCTCCCGTTCGCAAGCAGCCCAAATTTCCCAACCACTGATGGGGTCCCTTCAGAGAACCCCCTGGGGATACTTGGTGGTTGTCCTTGCTCCAAACAAGTCCTGACTCCTCTCTGAACTTGTCCTAAGGAGACAAATCTTTCACCTTTGAAAGGCAATTATGGAGGATCTAATGACAATGAGCCCGTGTTTATCCCTCCAGTTCTCTAGGTCTGTTCATGCGCCTACACGTTTGCCTGCGTTATAATTGGTGGGCACGGGCCGCCTCGTGATCTGCTCTGTTCGCTCACTGTTCCGCTCAGAGCCTGCTTTGTCACGCCTCCGTGATTGGGCATTGGTGTTGTTTCCCATCTTTCCTTTTGTATTTCCATTTATTATTTTTATGTTTTAAATTTGCTGTAGGGCCCATGTGCTCACCAGAGAGTGCTTAGGTGGGCGAGGCACTTCGCTAAGTGCTTTGCGTGCATTATCTCGCTCCATCTGCATGGTAGCCTACGATGTATTTAGTTTAGCCCATTATACAGATGGGACCACCAAGGCTCATCAGAGAGAGCGAGAGAGAAAGAGAGAAAGAGAGAGAAAGCAAGCTGCCAGGACCGGGACTCACACCATTGTCAGCCCTGTGGGAGTTGAGCATCTCAATCACCATACCACCTGCTGGCCCCTCAATCTCTCGCTCTTATGTTCAAGGCCGCCGTGGCCACCTTTCTACAAAGTTGTCTTCCCTTTTGGATTATTCCCTTGGAGTATTTTCATTGTGATTTTGCCAAATAATTCTCTACCAATAAAAAAAAAAAAAAAGAACCGATACACAGTACAGCTAGAAATCTGCGAAGGAGGCCATTCTCTCCACGTCCCGACAACCCTGGGTTTTATCATTGCTGGTATACCTCATTGAGTCATTGCTAAAGAGGCAAGGTCCTGTTGTCTGAAATGAAGGGAGTTGGGCTGAGGAACAGGAGTGAAAGGTACAGCCTTCCTGGGGGGGCTGTGGGACTGAGCAGACGAGAGCCCCAGGCAGCGCTAGGGATGCTAAAAGCGACGTGGCTGTTACTATTCTCTGCCCTTCGAGAGTTAACTCCCGCCTTTGAACACTGAGTGGACTTAGTCTGGTAGGTACAGCATTTCTTCACGTATATCAGTTCTTCATATCTTTTGTTCTTCCATAACTTAGCAGTTCTGTCTCTTTCTGGCATTTTTTCTTTCTAACAGCTTCCTTGTTCTATGCATTTAATAAAATCATTCCTTTCTTCCTTTCTTTTTCTTTACTTGGACAAACTCACCTGGGCTCATTTGCTAACCTCCATTTCTTTGATAATCAGAATTTTTTCTTTCCTTTATAGCAAATTAGTCATCTTGGAGAATGGACGATCTCGGGAAGCAGATTTTTTAAATCAAGCAAGGATTTCAGGAAATTTGGAAGGCAATAACTAAGTCTATTCAAAGCACTAAGATGAAGGGACCTCTGTTACATGTTAGATACATGTATGTATACACACACAAATATCCACAGTCTATAAGGATGCACATAATGTATACATGTAAGAAAAAAAAAAAAAACACGAAATCTCAGAATGCTAGGCCAGTGCGTATCAGCCTGCAAATATTAATATACGGATGTGTACCCCCACCCACAGAGCCTGGTAAACAGTACACAGGACCAAGGAGAGCCCGGGATGCAGTGGGTCGCTCTGCACAGCAGCCGCCATCTTGGGGAGCCCCTCACCACCCAGGTTGTGTCGCCGCAGCGCGCGATAACGACTAACGCTTTGCAAATTTTAGTTTACAGAACACCCTCCCATGCGCTCTCTCCTATAACAACCTTTGAATAGACTATGTCTTAATAGCCTCCACTCAATGAGTGCTTACGTGGGCGAGGCACTTCGCTAAGTGCTTTGCGTGCATTATCTCACTCCATCTGCACGGTAGCCTACGATGTATTTAGTTTAGCCCATTAGACAGATGGGACCACCAAGGCTCAAAGTGGCCAGATGATTGACACCCAGCTGATAAGCGAGGAGACTTGAATACTGTCACTTTCCTCTCTCTGAACTGACATCTTGCGTCCACCTGCAGGGGGCGCCCTCGCTATTTGCAGGCTGCGAATGTGGCTAACTAAAGAGAACGCTTTTAGGAAAGCAAGCCTTGCTGGTCATTTTACTACGTTCCCAGAAAATATGTGAGGCTGAAACAAGACAGAAGCCTTGTCCACACCAGTCTATCACAAGATTATAACAGCAAACAAACACGATTCGTGGCACACCTAATGGCCCACCGCTCATCCTCACAGAATCACTGGCTGTCCGTGTCAGAGGTGGGGAGCTAGAGGGAGGCTTAGATCCCAGGCTGGTCTGTCTCTTTCCTCTCCACTGTGAGACCACGGCACTCTCACACTCGCTGTGCAAGGCTGGGGCCCCAGTTCTATAATTAACTTCTGCCTAGACCCCCCAAGCCCCCTCTGTCCCAGAGTCAAAGCCTGCCTGTAGTCTGTGCCACAGACCTGACCTGGAGCTGGGGACAGGATGCCAGGTGCCGGGGCTTGCAGGAGGCAAAGGCATCTTTAATTACAGCTGTGAGCCTCACCTCAGCATGCTGGGGAGCCCTTGCTCCTCCTTGGGTCTGTGCCTAAGGGCATCTTTCCAGCTTCTGCAGGATCCCCCATTCTGAGCTGGCTGTGTGTAACTCTTCTCCCCAGCTGGCAAGAGCCCAGTTCCCCAAGGAGACCAGAAAGCCCTTGGCCCTTGGCACAGCTGGGTCCTCAGCCTGGCAAGTGACACCTGCAGTGTCAGCCCTGTCACCTGCGTGAGGCAAGGCTCTAGCTCATCTCAGAGACAGGGCCATTTTCAGACTCTGGGGCTGGGGCTGGGGGCAGGGTGTGCCTCCCACTCCCACATCAGCCTTGCCCTGAGGCCCCTCTTCCCCCAAGCCCCTCCCCATAATCTTTCCTGGATCCCAGTCTGCCCCCATCACAGAAACCCTGGCCTGCTATTCCCTGGGAGCTCTGCCTGTCTCCTGGGGTACAGACAGGGCTTCCTGACCCCAATCCTTGGCGTGCCATCAACTTCCTTCCCTGAGATCGGCCTGGACTCCCCCTCCATGGCAGCCTCACTGCGGCTCACTGTAGATGGCAGCTCTACAGAGAGGGCCACAGGGGCTGACCACAGCCTTAGCCTCCCAGGTCCCTTCCCCACTCCAGTGTCCTCTCCCACTCCGAGAGGCTCAGGGGTGGGTGTGGTTCCTTTCCTCACGGTGCTCAGCCACACGGGGTCTTGCTGTGAACCAATGCCCCCAGGTACCTACCTGTGGGCTTGAGACCCTGGCCCAGCACTCCAAGGTGAACCCCCTGACCTCAGCCCCTTTCCTGCCAGCGTGGGCCACTGGGCCAGTGGACTCGCGTTAGGAAACACAGGTGATAGTTTTCCTTTTTATTTGGCTGCTCCTGTCTGCCTCTCCCAGGTCAGTCTTGGGGCGGCAGCTCAGGCAGGGGAGGGGACCCCACACTGTGCTATCAGACCACCCTAGGTGCCCACCCACACTCCTACATCAAGTCCCAGCCCCAAACCCTCATCCTCCTAAAAGCAGCAAGAGCAGGTAGGGCTCAGAGGCACAGGAATGCGAAGGCCACTTTCCAGGGAGAGTTCAACAAGTCCAAACGCAAAGCCAGGCAGGATCTGCTCCTTTCTCACAGCTGCCACCCAAGCTCAGGTGTGGGGGTGCAGCCTCAGTCCCCAGAATTCTTCTCTATGGCAGGGCTGGCAGCCCATTCAGTTTTGCTCCGGCCAGGACATTGCGGTCTTTCCTTTTGTGGTCGTGTGGCCAGCCTGGTGCAGTGCGCTCCGTGGTTTGGTGGCCGGGTCAAGAGTGCTAGTAGCCCAGCCCGGGGTTGGCTCGCAGGTAACCCCGCTGCCAGGAAAGAGGCCCAGCAGAGGGAGCTCCGGGACATCGGCGCCAGCTTCCCCCAGAGGCCTGGGCCAAGCCCGGAGCCTCGGCTACCGCCCTAGGCCGTCCCAGGTGCGTAAGCGACGAGCACGAGGCACAGCGCGGCGCAGGTAGCACCAAGGGGCCGGCGTTGTCCCGGCGCGCCAGGCCGGGCCCGGCAAGAGGCGGCGCGGGGCGCGGGGGGGCGGGGGCC